TGATTCATTCATATTTATGTAATTTGTTTTTCCATATTAGTGATGTGAGAAGAAAAAATAGAAAAGAGAATAGAGTTTAAGCATGAAACCAAAAAAAAATATAGATGGGGTTTAGTATTTGAAGAGAGAATGAATAGGAAAATAATCCAAATCAAGAAAAGACAAAATATTTGGATAAGAATTCATGTGTTTTTCTAGTCTTTATGGAAATACAATGTGCAAAGTTTATCATGACAACACCTGTATGATTCAGCTAATACAATCAATCTCACCCTAAAATGCATTGTGTGTTTGATTGGAGTACCAATCACTCAGACTAACTCAAATAATTCAATAAACCAATAAATTTAAATTCAAAATTATCTCATTAATCAAACTCATTAGATCATGCACACATAATAATATTGTATAGAAATATATACATAATACATACATATAGAAAATATTTAAATATATAACTATATATAAATATTTAATTTAAATTTCCATACAAATCAACTTAAAATACTTATTTATCCTTCAAGTTGAAAACCAATAAAAACCCGACATCATTATTTTATCTAAAGTGTGACTTTAATTAAACCGGTCTTAAAAATAGTTCTCATGACTTTAATGTAGTATATCTTTTATCTAAAACTGTGTATAATTTGTTTTGATTGGTTAAAAAATATATTTACATTAAAAGTTTAATAAGTTTTTTTCCCCACAAATTACAAATAACAATATATAAAGTGACACATTTTGTGAGACATAATATATACTTAATGATTCAAATTCATAAGGCACCTGACTTTGAAATCATGAGTTTATTTAATTGGGTTGATGTTAAGAAAAAATCTCAATAATCTCATTCAAATTCATATCATTAATTGTGAATGTATATATTGTGAATATTGTGAATGTAAAATTTTAATCCAACAACATATCATTAATTATGGGTTCATTTTATATTAAGAGTTAGGTGAAAATTAACTTAGATGATAGATGAATTAGAATATAAAAATATATTTCTCATTCAATAAAAAACTTCAATCGAATCAATTCTTAACAAGTAAGTCACCCCTAATTGGAACCAATTCCAAGAGAATCAAAACAATGTCCATGAGTAACATCATCATCATCATCCTCATCTCCGCCGTCTTCCTCCTCCTCCCACCACCCCTCACCTCCTCCGCCACCCCAACCGCCTATGAACTCCTCCAACAATATAACTTCCCCGGAGGCATCCTCCCACAAGGAATCACTGGATACGAAATAGACGAATCAAGCGGTAAATTTCGCGCGTACCTGAACGGCACGTGCAGTTTCTCTCTAGAAGGTTCTTATCAATTAAGTTACGAATCCATCATCAGTGGCCACATTTCAAAAAATAGACTCACTGATCTAAATGGAGTTAGTGTCAAGATTCTATTCTTTTGGCTTAATATCGTAGAGGTGGTTCGTGACGGCGATAATCTTGATTTCTCGGTAGGTATTGCTTCCGCTTCTTTTCCGTTAGATAATTTCTTTGTTTCACCACAGTGCGGTTGTGGATTGGTTTGCGATGATGTTGAGTTCGAAAACCCATCGCTTCCTCTTTCTTCTATGTAGAAACATAGTTACATTTTTACATGCTTCAGTTTTATATTGGATTAAATATCTATACTCTATGTGTATTTTATACTGTTACATGAATTATTAAGTTTTTCTCTTTGATATTTATCATGTGGATTGTTATAATTTCAACGTCGCGGACATAATTTTGTTTAATAATTAATTTCATTATTAGTCTGGTATTGAGTGATTAATAATTTTCATTTTCAACAAATATTTGCTACAAGATAATTTAATTGTGTTTCAAACCGCGTTCTAATTTAAAGATATGTTTCAATTGAGAAGGTGATGTAACATGATTTTAAGGTTAATTGTAATCTGCACCTTAGTTTGATTGATTTCGTAGTGGTTTTAACTTTTAAGAATTATGTATCAATGTATGATATGATATCTCTTGTACATACCAAATAATTCTGTATTTAGGGTAGAGATAAGGTATGATTGAATTTTGTTTTTACTTTTTAGTAAATTGGATTTCATTGTTTTTTTTTGTCCGGCTGAGAGAAAATGTTATTTTTTTGTACTCAATCGCAAAGCATCACACTTTAATTTTAATTTTCAACTGGTAAAAAAATATTGACGAATAAAAAATAAAAAAAAAGTGAAGATTACTTAGAGTTAGAGATCGAAAGGAGTGAATTAAAGTGGACTCCAAAGATTTTAAAGAAAATCTCATAATATTGTCCTTCTATCTCTCCTCCCTTTCATACTTTGAACCTCATATCATAATCTACCAACAAAATATTGGTCTAGTAGTATAATTCACATGTAATTGTGTTTCATCTTTGAGAAAATGTCAGAAAAATTTCCAACATTTGATTAATTCCCAAAAATCTAAGGAAATTCCTTTTTTGTTGTGTTGCTGTTCCTTTGCCTGAAGTATAGTCAAACATATACATCAAGTGGTGTTGAAATTTAGCTGCTTGGGAGTATGATTGAGTTTCAAAAGCCATTGAATAGTAAGAGTGCCTAACCAAATAAAGCATTTACTACATATCATGTGCATGTAGCACACGCCAATATTAATGTCCTTATATTTCATAATGACCTCACCCAGAATCTATGTTCTTATTCCACAAGATAGAGCGTGGCATTAAAAAAACATAGCTTCTTCAACCATATTCATCTTTAAATAAACATTAAAACATGCACCACTATCTCTTATCTGCATGTACCTTATTAGTTCTTTAATGCACTGTGACATAGAAGCAGTGTCACATTTTCATTTTGCCTATGAATTGAACCTTTGTGCATAATTAAAATGGTATGGCAATAAAGGATAAAGCAAAAAGTACTACTGATGGGGTGCGTAAGTGTGAGCTATGTAGAAATTGAACTAGTATTTGAGTCATTGCTGCACGTCACAGGTTCTCAGCATGCTATTCACTAGACTTTGCATTATATCATTACTCTCTCCCCATAAAGGGGATACCCCTTTTCAAAACAGGGCTTGATATGTCATAGAATTGTAATTATTTTTGTCCTACCTGCTTTAGTCTGATATGAACATAGATCAATCGCATTTGTCTGTATAAAATGGTTAATTGTGCACACATCACAACATTTGAATATTTATTGTTATTCGTTAGTTTGTAAAATAGTTTATAAATGGAAAAATTAATACTTATACCTTTACTTTTTGGGTCAAGATGTATTATTGTATTTATCCTCATGATAATGAAAATCACAAAATTGGATCCTCTCATGGTCTGGTCAGTACTATTATCTCATGAAAGTATATGTTTTTTTTAAAAGTGTTTTTGAATGTAAAGTAAAACAAAAATAAAAAAAAAAATGTATTCACCATTCAACAGTTAAAATGAATGAAAATATATGTTTTTTTTAAATGGGTTGGTTCCACACATTGTTTACATTTTCCCAATTTCCCTGACAAAGAAAAGGACAACTTAAAGTACAATAAATACTAATGTTAGATGTAACCTATTAGAAAAAATGTTCATGTGTCACTTTCTGATAGGTTGCATGTACTATTAGTCATGGGTAGTGTTTAGGTACTTAAGTTACTCATTGAAATTCTTAGTGTAATGCTAAACCAACAAAAAGATAAGGACCTATTACACATAGGGAATCATTTGAACCTAGGGAGCTTCCAATGTTTCTATAAAACTATTACAGGCACACACACATGGCATACTAAAAAAGCATTAATGATTTTTCTACAATTACTTTTAGACGTCAAATATGAAATCTATGATTTTTCCATTGAAATTTGAGAGAGGGGTTAAAAAAATAAGTGAGAGAATGTAATAATTTCATATGATGAGGGGTGTGTTTAGTATTTGAGAAAAGCTTGTTGAAAGTTGAAAATTCATATGTCAAAAGCTAATGACTAATCATTGAGCTAATTGAATTGAGAGCTTTTAGAAAAACTAGATGATAAATTTGTTCATTAGTATAATGTAAAACAGCTTATAAGTCACTAACTTATAAGCTTTAATAAAAGAAATCAATAAGTGGATGTTGCCAAACTCAAGCTTAATAGTAGTTGAGCATCATTTTTTGAACCATGTGTTTCATATATATATTATGTTTGAGTAGGACTCCTCTCCATTAATGGAGAGACAAGTGAATTTTTGATGTGTATTATAAGGGTAAATGTGTAATCATCTTTTAAATAAAAAGAGCAAAAATGACATTGCATCTTTCACTTTTTTTAATTTTTTTGGGTACTTACCTCTCCATTAATGGAGACGAGTCTTACTCATTATGTTTAGTTGTTTTATCCCTTTCTCTTATTTGTGTGTGTCTATCTAATTTTAAATAAAAGAGAGGAAAAAACAAATCAATACAGTTATAGCACAAAACAAACAAAAATCATTTCACAAAAAAAATCATGTGTCCCAATTTAATTACATTCCAACAAGTAATATAAAAAAATAATTTTCTATTTTTATGATTTTTCTTTTTAATTAAATGTCGCTTTTGATTAGATTGATTGCACAAATGACACACCAAAAGTGTGATATGTGATCTCCATTCTATTAGTACAATATTGTAAAGAAGAAAGAGATTTCAAGAAAAGGGTTAGTTCTAGTCTCCTTTGAGCAGTGAACCTCAAATGAACAAAGTGGGTTGATGACTTTTTTATTTTATATTTATGAAATTAAGGCATACAATACTCAAATTGCTTGGATTTTGATATCACCTTGTTTGGATTTCTATGTATAGTACTACTGGCATGATGGTATAGCATGGCATTGCATAAGCATTGATTCACTTCACTTCACTCATTGCTTCCTCTCACATTACTTGTTACTTACAAAATATTTTCTCACTCTTTTGTCTCTAATTTTTAGACCTATAAATACCTCACCTTTTCCTATGTCTACCTCAACCAATTCCACCATCTTCCTTGTCATACTCAAAGGTTGTCTGCACCGGGTGAAAAACTCTTGTTGGAGAAGCAGGGCACGTGCAAATCTCCGGGCTTGGTTTTCTTACATCTGAAACTCGCCTTTTGCACGTGCTCCCCTTCTCCAACATGGGTTCCTCACCTTTCTCTATCTTAACTCAGTTTTTCAAGCAAGTCTTGCACTTTATATGGTAATATAATGTTTTACTTCTGAGTTCTGTCTTATTTGCCAAGTAAACTTCCAAAATGCTAACCTAAGTTTTAAAATTTGGTCTCCAATAACTATATGCAAAAATAGAGAAAAGGGTAGAAAGAATTACCATTCTACATGACTACAGTAACTTCATTTCATGATTGAACCATGTTGAGTAAGAATAATATTTATGTATAAAGTATGAACCATGATCACATTCACCTTTTTTTAATGTTATTTTGCTTGTAGTTACAAACTGGACTAAAGGATACTACTGTTCTTTGTGTTGTAAAAGCAGCTTCTGAAGTTGAACACCTTTTGGTGATGTTACTCAAACACAAGCAACAGACACACAGAGCCTAAGAGCTACGAGGAGGAGATTCTTTAGAGTGTGATACAAGAATTAATTAATATATGTTTGAAAGAGCATGCCTTAGCGTATTACAATGTTAGACTTAAACACATGAAAATGTCAAACCCAAAAGAGTAGTCTATTATATGAGAGAGTCTCATAACTTGTATCATATTGAATTTGTAATTCTACTAAATGTGAGACTACTAACATCCAAAATTATGTATCGGCTAATAAGGTTCACCTTTCCAAGTGATTATTGCTTCCTATTAACTGTTTTAGACTAAATGTGGAAAGTAGGAAGTTGATAGAGGGTAAATAACCTCTCTTAAATGTATACTTTAGAGTTGATAGGAAATAAGAGTTTAATATAAATGTGCCAACAGAATAATTTATTTTATATGGTTAGCATATCATGTATAATTCATGTGATAAATAATTTTTTTATACTCTTTACATATTATATTTTTTTAGTATTCAGCCAAGCCTTTTCTTAAGGTATGACTATTTCTGTCGATTTAATAATTTAATACATAAAAAAACATATTCATACAAAAGTGGTGCTCAAATCTGTTGAAACTTCAGTTTGACTCTCGTCGGAGTTTAGAAGGCGCAACCACCATTGAAATCATTCTTCTTTCACTCTCTAATCGAACATTTCCTTACCAACTCAACATTTCATGATATTCATATTTCTCAATATACAACAACAATGTTGCACGAGCTTCTGTTATCGTTACTCGGCTACACCGGTGACTTAATCATCGATATCAAAGAGAGTGAACACCTCTCATCTCAAACCCCAATTTCCGATGAATGCACTTTCAAGCTTGCTCCTGATATCAACTTTATTGACCCAAGTGACCGGTTCTTACCAAACTCTCACTTTTTTTTTCCAAAACCCCATTAATTCTAACTAACAATTCCTTCACTTTGCCGGGGTTTTTCTTAATGCATTCTTATTTTTATTTTCTGGGCATGTTTCAAAACTGCAACTTGCTATAACAAAATTGTAACTTGTAGGGAACTTTTTATTAAAAGGATTATTGCATTGGGGTTTAAGTTTTTTCTTTCCAAGGCTCCAATAATTCTAACTATCAATTCCTTCACTTTGTAACTTTTTGTCTATTTATTGATTAAGTTTATTATTTTTTTAATTTTATTTTATGGGCATGTTGCAAAATTTCAACTTGCCTTAGAAAATTGCAACTTGCAAGGAACTTATTCAGATATTATCACATTGGGGCTTTGATTTTTTTTCTCCATACCCCCTTAATTCTAATTAACAAATTTTCACTTTGAAGGCTTATTTTGTATGTATCTTTTCGGGCATGTTGCGAATTTCAACTTGCTATAACAAAATTGCAACTTGCAGGGAACTTATTGAGAGAATCATTGCATTGGGGTTTTATTATAGAGAGCTGGATCGTTTTTCAGAAAAGTCTAGGAACTTAAGCTGGATTAGGTCTTCAAATGAAATTGAAAACCCTTTTGGAACTGTTTCTGATATGTCAAAGGGGAAAAGGGAGAATCCCAGTGTTTATCGTAGGGCCTTAGCCAATGGCATTGTTGAGATTCTCTCAGTTTATAGGTCAGCGGTTCTGCACATTGAGCAATTGTTGTTGTCTGAAACCATTCCTATATTGGCAACAGTTACCCAATGTCTTAACAAGGTGAAATTTTTGTACAACTTTTCCCAGTATTTATGTTCATCTTGATATAAACTTTGTTTTTTTACATGCTTCGCAGTTTTTCTCCCTTTTGCCACCTTTATACAAGCTCATACTAGAGATCGAGCGTGATGATATTCGTGGCGGGCAACTACTTAATCTTCTACATAAGAGACACCACTGTGGAGTTCCTGAATTACAGACTTGCATACAGAGGTATGGGGTTCTTTTTGCACATTATAGTCTCAATATTGTTATGATTCATGTTATGTCTTTTCCACCAATGTGATCTTATCCCTTTTGGGGTTGTAATGTATTAGTTACAGTAATCATGGATATGTTAATCGTACTAATTAGTAATTACTGTGTAGTGATTACAGTCTTTAGTGTAATAGAAAAACTATAGGAGTGAAGAAAAAAATCAAAGGCTATATCATATTGGTTTGGGTTGCAGATTAATGAAGGATTTCTGTTTGGGACTCTATATGTTTATTACTTTATCAGCTTCTCTAAATTTAAAGTGCTAATCTCTTTGTATTGACCTTCTGGTCAGTGGTCACACTGCTAATAATTATTCATTTTTTCGGTTATTCCTGTCCAAAGCTTAGGCTTCTTTGGCATGGGCATCAGGTCATGTATAACCAGCTTGCATCGTGGGTGATCTATGGTATTCTTCAAGACCAGCACGGAGAGTTCTTCATTAGGAGGTAACTAAATACTAATTTTTAGTGTATATAGTGTTGATATCCATGTAGGTGCCTCTCTATGTATGTGCATCATTATCTCGTGACACAAATCACAATTATAGTGGTATGCTGAAGCAGCGGTGATTAATAACCTGTATTGCAAGTATGGTGAATTTCATAAGAAATACACTTTCCATTTATTATCTGAGAGTTCATGACATTGTCAAGGCCTCACTGAAAATAATTCCATAGTTGATGTACCATACTAAATTTTTTGATATAAATAGTGATTATTAACAATGACAATTATAAGTTATCAAAACAAACTTAGCCCCCATTAAAATTTAAGTTTATGTAATATACTAGTATGGTTTTGTCACCATGATTGATCATTGATATTGACACCATGATTTGTACACTTACGAGCGAACTTAATAGCAAAAGGATAGAAAGGAGAAAGGTGGGTGATTAAGACAAATAAAGAGTATGGAATTATGCTTAAATCCATGTAGTCTTTTATCACCCCCACCTTCGTCCCTCGAATCACGAAAAAAAAATAAAAAGGAACGGCGGCCCAATGCACGAGGCTCTCACTTAGTGGGTCTGCGGAGGGTAAATGTATGCATCTTTACCCTCTTTGCTTTTTAAAAACTTTGTTTAGATAGCATTGATGATTTCTGATTTCTCAGGTTCTGAAGTCCGATATGTGTAATTCCTTTGTTAATTATATGCCTTACCTGATTCACTTGCTTTTCAGTCAAGAAGCTAGAGATGTAGAAAATAGTTCATCTCATCCAGACATCTCTGAAAAGTTGGCTCGCTTGTCGACTGATGACGCATCTTTATCTGATTGGCACTTAGGCTTCCATATTTGTTTGGTAATTGCTCTCATTATTAGCTAATTTGTAACATGCGGTGACATGGACGTCATTCAATTTCTGATGAAAATTATGTTGTCTCTTAATGTTTATAGCTCATTTGTCTGTACCAATGAAATTCCACCTCTCATTCTTTTATGAATGGAAACTGTTTCCACTTTAATAAGTGGAATTCTTATTGTTGTTCATCTTAAATTGTCAGGATACATTTCATTATTTTTTTCATATGTAAACTTTATCCAAGAGAAACATGAGTTCCTGAAATTTGACAAATTATTTCCATTTGATTATTTTTACATCTTGTTTTGCAGGATATGCTGCCAGAATATATACCTATGCGTGTTGCAGAATCAATTCTTTTTGCTGGTAAAGCTGTCAGGGTTCTACGGAATCCAAGTCCTTCCTTCCAGTCTGGGGATGCTGTGTATCCTCAAATGCCCAAGAGCTTTCAGACAAGACATGAATTAGCTGGGCAATCTCAATTTCGGAGGGAGACTGTAATTAATATGGGAATGGGAGAAGATTTGCTTCCACAGTCTGAGGCTGATAAGATTGAAGCTATGCTTCTGGACCTAAAGGTTTCTGTGTCCTACCACTTCACTGTATCACATAAATGCTGATTTTTCACAGCCATTTTTAATCAGTATTTGGTTTGTTGGTATACTTTTCATTTGGCTTATTTCGACCGTTCTTAGTTTCTAATTCAACATGACTAATCACTAATGAATTATGTGTCGTGATTCAAATTTTCTAGTCTTAAAGGCAAACTTACTGTTAACTTTCCATAGGAATCATCTGAATTTCATAAAAGATCATTTGAATATGCCGTGGATTCTATTCAGGGTATTGCAGCCAGTCATCTCTGGCAGGTGCTTAATATAAATTTTTTGCATCATATATTCATTAGTTTGTGGTGCATTTATGTTTAGAGCCATTAAATTTATTTTCCGTCTATATCTGCAGCTTGTGGTTGTACGTGCTGACTTGAATGGCCACCTGAGGGCCCTGAAAGACTATTTTCTTTTGGCCAAAGGAGATTTCTTCCAGGTAAACTTGAAATATTATCTATACTAATATTTTTCACCAGCACAAGTGCCTATCAATTTGCAATTTTGTTTTATTTGTGTTAAATAAAATATTATTTATTATATTTTACTCAGGTTCAAACTTCAAGATTTCTTGTAATTTGAATGAAGCTATATGCACATCTTTGATTTACTTATGGTTTTCTGTATTAGTGTTTCCTTGAAGAAAGTCGTCAATTAATGCGTTTGCCACCTCGCCAGTCAACTGCGGAAGCTGATCTTATGGTCCCATTTCAGCTGGTTTGTTTAGCTTGTGATTAATGTAGTTCATGT